TCTGTTATTTTTGTATATACACAACTTTTATGATGTTCTCATATTTCTTTTTTATAATTTTGTCTAGAAATTAGAATAAATATGATGTTCTCATATTTCTTTTTTATAACTTTTATGATGTTCTTAGCCACACCAAAATCTTGAAAACTATTACATGTCATTGATCAGGATTTTGTGTTGTCAATGAACTATACATCTTAAACCATGATAAATTTAATCTCAAACTAATTTTTCTTTGTTCAATGTGTTAAAGTTCCAGGAAAAACCCTTGTGAAATTTCATGTCAACAAGCCAAAATCATCAGGCGAGCCATTTTTTTAGCTTTCATTTTGGTCTAAATTGGATATTGTTCAAGTGCTAATTATGTTTTAGTAATGAACTCTAGATCTTAACAAATGAAAACTTATTAGAAAAACATGTGTGGCCTTCTAATTAGTTTTTACTTTTTTGCAATGCGAGTCCCAAATCTTATGGCAATAAGGTTGATCATTTATGGTCCTTAAGGAAACAAATATAAATAGTGTAAGTTGATTGATTAATTGCTTTGTTTTACTCATGAATTAATATTTGTTTATGATTCCGTACTTTTATTTTCTGTCTTAACAAACTCATGACATATTTTTGCAGCAATCATTTAACAAGATTTTCCCTGCATTCTTCTGGAAAAGAATCTGATTGGTATATTGGTACGTTGTTTGTTCGGCTTCCACTTTCAATGGTGTCGAGTGTAGTTTCTCACTTCTATTTATTTTGTCTTATTTTTTTTCAATATATTTGTTGTAACATTATTTTTTTCCAATTTATATCTTGGTTTATTTATTCAATATTGCATCCTGCTTCTATTTTCTTTCCAGTATAGTGTCCACTGTTGGTTTAGTTTTTTAATATATTTGGCTTGTTTTTGTTGATGTACCATCCTACTTTTCTTTTCAGCCCGATAAGTGGCTACAGGCACGGAATCTTATGAACCTCATTGTCACCATTTTATTGCAGTAAAGGTCTCACGAAAAGTTGGTAGATGGAAATTTGAAAAAGCACCAAAAAGGCATAAAAAGATTGAGGCTGCTAGCATTGATTATGAGTGTTGATAAGTTGTAAGAATCTGATATGTCCTTGTGTTTTTGTAATGTAAGTATTTTTTATACTCTTGTTTTTATATAATAAGTCATTTTTCATTTGCAATTATTTGCTTAAATGTTTAAGGACTAAGGGTTGCAACAAACCTTGTTGCAAAAATGGGTTATTTTAGCATTTTGTAGTAATGATGAAAGAGAATTATGAGAATGAAAATCACACAAAAGTGTTGTTGTTTATAGTAGTAAATCATAACCATAGTGACCATAGTGTAGTGGGATTACAAATTTTATAAAAGGTACTGAAAAAATAAAAATCAGAAAAGGACCCGGTTATAAAACTGCTCGTGTTTACCATGAAAGGACCCGGTTTTGCTTATAAGAACCGGGATATATCACAATAATAAGGTCCTGGTTATAAAACCGGGTTTTATTACTATTTTCATATATGACTCGCCTATAAGAGACCCGGTTGAAAACCAGGTTCTTTTAAGCTTTTAACATGGTTCTTTTAACCATTTTGTAGTAGTACTCCTTCACTATTTTGTAACGAATTTGGATGGAAAAGGAAAGGATTCTTCATGGAATTTGACATCTCTAGACATAATGATTTTTTTCTCTACATCAAATATTTTATATCCTTTTATTCCATGTGGGTAACCCAAAAAAAATTCCGGTCTCCCCCTCACTTCAAATTGATCACCATTGGTCTCATTGCTTCTATCATAGAAGTTATGATATGTCAAGCTACCAAAGACATAATGATTATAATGGTTTGATGATGGAGTCTCCACATTTCTCACTATAAGGTATTTGGTTTTTTATGTTTTATATCAAGTCATGCATTATTTATTTGATTTCTCGTACCCGTTTGGTCTCAAAGTGTAAAATAAATTAAACTCCATGAATTGGAGTAAGAATTGGTGTCTCAAAGAAACAATTTGGTGGTCATAGCAATGTTACTCAATAACATTGTATCAACCACTAAATTGTATTTTTTTTATTAAATTTGTTAGTTATGGAGTACAATTGTTTCTAACAAACAGTACTCTATATTACTTACAGAGTACGGTTATACAACCGTACCCTATTTAGTCTTTAAATAGGAAACTCCCCCCTTAGAGTACGTTGCTATAACCGTACTGTATTACCTATTTTAACCGTATTGTATTACCACTTTTGTAGTAGTGCCATATTGATTAAAAAAAATCTGTTATAACTTGAGATGTGAATTCACCTCCATTATCATTTTTTTTTTAAATTCGTTTCCCAAATTGGTTTTCTACCAGTTTACAAAAGTTGATCAAACACTTAAAAACATCATTTTTATGTTTGATCAAGAAAATCCACACAAACATATTGTAATCATCAACCATAGTTAAGAAATAATTTGCCCCTGAAAGTGAAGGTGTACAATATTTCTCCTAACATCACAGTGAATTAACTTGAAACATTCCTTGGAATTCTTAATTGATTTAAAGAAAAAGGAGACCTGGTATGTCTTGTTTTTGAACATGAATCACAAAATTTGTTCTTGAGTTTAAAGGAAACAGTTTTAAGAAAATCTACTTTGAAAGCTTCCCCTTTGAGGCTTGCCCTAGTCTCTTGTATCATCTCTCAACTTTAACGTGCATTGCCTTTCTTTCATCTTCAAAATCAAGTTCCTTGAACGGAGACCATGCATAACACAAAATTTTGGAAAAAAATTATCGCGCATTAGAGATTTTTGGTTAAACGACTCACTAATAAAAGATTGCAACGAATTAGGAAGGTGCAAGATTCCTTCATTTCTGGTGCCACCCAGTAAGGTATACACTACAACAATCGGACCCTGTGTAGACGACGATTTTAGACCCTATGGAGACGACAAGTCGTCGGCATAGGGTATAGCGACGACAAGTCGTCGGGAAAAAGTCGTCGGCATAGGTCTGTTAGGTCGTCGGTATAGCTAGCTCTATTGCGATGACATGTCGTCGGCACAGATTTCATTATTGTCATATTGAAATAACATATTTGGACTCACTACAACTATATATATATATATATATATATATATATATATATATATATATATATATATATATATATATATATATATATATATATATATATATATATATATATATAGGATACCCACGCGATGCAGCGGACGGTTAAGATAGACGGTGAATTTTTCTTTTTGCCAACGATTTTAATTAACCTATATTTTTTGTTTTTAGGTACATTAACCTAGATTGTTTTTTCAATATGTAGGGATAAGTAGTATAGGACATGACACATTAATCAGTAAAGTAACCAAACACATTAATTACAGCTTTTAATGCTTACTTTATCGGTTGTAAATTTATACTAATATGACATATTTAACAATGTCTTATGTTTTATTATCACTATTTTAGATTTTTATTCATATATTATCATTTAAATTTGAAGTTCATAAAAAGTTTACTATCAATTGAGTATTTTCTTTTTTCTAGAAATCCTTAAAAACTTGAACAATAGAAGTTAAGAAATCTAAACTTGAACAATAAAGTATTTTCTTTCAATTTAACTAATATTTCTTAAATATTTTTTTATAATCGTTAAAAGTTTCCAAATAAGTAGCTTAAAATAATTTACAATAACAATAGTTAAAAACAACTCTATATAAATGATTATATTGTTAGTTTTAAAATAAAGAAACAATATTTGATTTTTTAAATAATTATAATGATAAAAACTAAAACATTAAGCAAATAAATTTTAAAAAATTAATCAACAATAAAAACAACTATAAATAACATCAAATCATATATTATATTTAATTTTATTCATGTGTAACTTGCGGGTAGAAGTCATTCAAACGATTGAGATTATGAAGTTATAATAAATATATATATTATCATATAATTCAAAATAATCAATATATTATATCAATTTAGTATATACAATTTATTATATCAAATTTAACAACAATATTATTGTTATATTCAAAAAATCATATATTTGTAAAGACTTCAACTATATAGGTGTTCCTGCGCAACGCGCGAACATTCGCCTAGTTTATTATACATGAATGCAAATACTTGTTCTTCACTGTTTTTTATCAAATGTGTTGTTACTATATTATTATTCACATTTTATAATAAAGCTTCGAATTATTAGAACTTTCTTTATAACTCTTTCATCTTTTTGTATACAAAAATATTATTCAATAGTGAATATAAAAAAATTCATTTTATTAAATATAATAAACCATTATCATGTGTCCTTATACACATTATTCTAGATAATAATTATGAATTATACATGAAAATGATAAAAATGTTATAACTTATAAATATATTACTAAACATTTCACTTGTAAGGTATGCATATAAACCGCAAATGAATAAATTTATTAAAATGGTTACGATACATTTTAACATAGTTACCTTGATAAAAAATATTACAATTATTTAAGTGACTTATATTTTTTAAATGACAAACCAAATATTAAATAAATATAAAATACATCACAATAATACATTAATATAAAATGAAATATAAATACTCTTTAGAAAAATTCTCTCACCACAAAACCTTTACGAATCAAGTTTTTGTTAAGTAAATATAAATAAAAGGAAGTAATACATTGAAGGGAAAATGACTTGTAAGGGTAATGATGTTTTACCCATGTTCACATTATACCATTAACGTTTTTTTTAACAGAAAATACCATTAAAATGTGTTTCCTGTACATATTTTACCATTGGTAACCGGATACAATAGGCATCCCGGTATTTTATTTATTTTTAAAAAAAAATTATGTGGAAAATACATGGCTCACCCCTCTCTCCATTAAACACCCTCACCCTCAATTAAACACTCTCAAAGCACGATTAAACACCCTCATACCAAGATCGTTGTGTAGGGTTTTCTCAGTCGAAGGTTTGTTTGAGATCGATCATGGCTGGTCCATCTAATGCAAAAGGATCAACTTACATTCAAGTAGATGTTCATTACGATGGAATGTTTTCCCCCATTCCTCATCTTATATACTACCTGAATCAAAAAACGTCAATTACAGATGTCGATTTTGGTGGATTAAATTTCAAGGAGTTCATTTATGTTCTTGAGGATGTCACAAAGGGGAAGTGTCCTGTTGTCTACTACTGTCTTGGGCATAAGTCAATGCGTGATGGGTTGACACCACTGAAAAACGATGATGACTACAGGAGGTTTCTTGATGCTGCACATGGTAACGAGGGAAAGATTAATGTATATATTGATCACTACAACGATTCGGTGCTTGACTGGATAGAGGAAGAAAAGGAAGAAAAAAGTGTTGATAGTGAAAGCTCTGATGAAGATAAAGACTCGGTCATGTCTGATGCTCTATCTGTTGATCATGAACCCGATGAAGAGGTAATACCATTGACTAAATCTGATGATCCCTTTCTTAACTATATTAGTGTTGTCCCTAAAGATGATTTTGTTGATGAGGATGATGATTCAGATAATGGAACCAAAGAAGCCCCAATTTATCCTTTTCATGACTCAACTCAGAAATGGGATACAATGCAACCCATCCTTGGTATGAGGTTTTGTAACCCTCAAGAACTTAAACAGCTTGTCTCAAACTATGCAGTAGCAAATGGTTTTAACCTTTGGTATGAAAAAAATGATAAAACTAGGTTGCTAGTCAGGTGTTGTAAAACTAGTGAAGGAAAGGCAGCATGTCCTTTTAGACTATGGGCTACTTGGATGAGCAGTGAAAAGTCATTCCAAATTAAGTCCTTACGTAATGAGCATAACTGTGCTAGAACCTTCAAGTTTGGGTCAGTTGTTACTTACTCATGGATAGGGAAACATTTTGTTAATGATATTTTAGAAAAATCCCAAAATGAGTTGCAGGGAAATGAGGGATAAAGTTGGGGAAATTTTCAATGTGAAGGTTAGTGTTGGACAATGCAGGAATGCAAAGAAGTTTGCACTTAATGAGATCGAAGGCAGTTTGAACACACATTATGAAAAATTATGGAGTTATGGAGCTGAGATATTAAGAGCTAATCCAGGGTCAACAGTGAAAATTGGGATGGATACAATGCCTGATTCCATAATTTATTTTTCTAGGATGTATGTTTGTATCAAAGGTGTAAAGGATGGTTGGATTGAAGGATGCAGGAGGGTTATAGGTGTAGATGGTTGCTTTTTAAAAGGTATTTGCAGAGGTGAGCTTCTTTCAGCTGTAGGTAGAGACACTAACAACCATATTTACCCCATTGCTTGGGCAGTAGTTGCAATTGAGAACAAAGAAACTTGGAAGTGGTTTCTAAACTTACTACTTAAGGACATTAACATGGGAAATGGGGCAGGATTAACCTTACTTTCTGACCAACACAAGGTATTTATCCTAACTGTTTTTTAATTGGTTACCGTTTTATTTATCTTAATGTTATGTTTATCTTGCATGTTTAGGGTCTTATTGAGGCTGTTAAAGAAAGACTACCAGATGCTAAGCATAGGCAATGTGCTAGGCACGTCTATGCTAATTTCAAGAAAAAATTTAAGAGTGCTGCATATAGGAAGCTTTTTTGGAGGGCTACAAAGGCCACAACTGTGCAGAGGTTTGAAGGTATAATGAAAGAGATTAGGGTGATTGATATACAAGCATATGATCACTTGATGGAAAGAGATCCAAAATCCTGGTCTAGGGCTTTTTTTGTATTGGACAGGTCTTGTGATGCCATTGAGAATGGTATTTGTGAATCTTTTAATGCTGCAATTGTGCATGCTGGAAAAAACCGATTATAACAATGTTAGAGGAAATTAGGAGGTTTGTGATGGATAGGATGTATTGTAAAAGATTGAAGGGGCAGAAATGGAATCTAGCCATATGTCCATCTATTAGAAAGAAAATAGTGGATAAGAGGAAACATCTAAGGTATATATACTTTATTTTATAGATATTGGCATGTAATTCCCAAGTACTAATTTTATACTATATTCCTTTATTTTATAGGTATTGGTATGTAATTCCCAGTGGAGTGCAACAATTTGAGGTGAGGTCAGTACATGAGGTTTATGATGTGTACTTGAACCAAAGAACATGTGCATGTAGAGGATGGCAACTAAGCGGTATACCATGTATACATGCCATGGCTGCTATTAGTTATCTAAATGAGAATGTGGAAGACTATGTGGCAACTTGGTTCACAACAGAAATGTTTGGAAATTGCTATAAGTATACAATTAATCCTTTAAATGGAAGTGAAATGTGGCCATCTTGGGAAGATCAACCTATGTTGCCCCCGAAACGTAAAAGATTACCTGGTAGACCTAAAGTCAACAGGAAGAAGGCTGCTTCAGAAAAAGAAGGTCGACATACTATTAGAAAGAAAGGGGCTATTACAAAATGCAGCATCTGTAGAGAACTAGGACACAACAAAATAACATGTCCACTGTCCAAAGAAGGTTTTTTTTTTTTTTTTTCATATCAAGTATCATTCATTTACAAAAAAATATAAGTATCATCTATTAATGCATTATAAATTTTAATGTAGGACCAAGTACTAAAGCCAAAAAAGAAGAAGGGTAAACATGTTCCTGATGTTGAGGATGAGTCTGAATTTGAGATTGAAGAGATGGCTAAAGTTGAAGATGAGTATGAATCTGAGTCTGAATCTGAGATTGAAGAGCTGGCTGAAGATGGTGATGAACCTGATCAGGGACAAGTTGATGAACAAGTTGTTGAAGCTGCTGTTGAACCTGCTGTTGAAGCTGTTGTTGAACCTGATCAGGAACAAGTTCATGGACCTGTTGTTGAGGAACCTGCTGCACAACCCGTTGTTGAAGTTAAACAAAGAGCACAACCATTGAAGAGGAAAAGGAAATACTTAGAGAGGATCATTGAAGTGGCATTAAGGAGGGTGGTCATCACCAAGGATGGATGTGGTTTAAGTGTAAATAAACCTGTTACACTGGAATGATTCCCTTTGATGTAAATCTGCACATTAAAAACTGTGCTTTTGTTTGTTTAAGGTAGAAATTACTATGCTTGTCTTTAAAAACTATGCTTGTCTTTTGATGTAAATATGCACATTAAAAACTGTGCTTTTGTTTGTTATTACCCTTTAAATATAATCTACATCGTTCAATGTTGCTTTTACATATGATTCCTTGTTTTTGACCATTATGCCCTTCATATTATTTTTTACCATTATTCACATTAAATCATATTCAAACATATTCAAACACAAGATTCTGCAAAGTTGTTTGCAAAGTTGCTTTTACATAAGATTCTTTTTGACCATTATGCTCTTAGGATTCCTTCATTTTGACCATTATGCCCTTCTGCACATTAAGGGGTAAAATTCTGCAAAGTTGTTTGTACATGGGTAACATTCTGCACATTATTACCCTAACAAGACAATGCATGAATGCTCATTCAATGTTGTTTGTACTTAAGATTAAATCATATTCAAACTTAAGCAAAACATGTTCATTCAATCATATTCAGCAAAACAACCATAATATCCGATTACAATTTGACATTTATGCCCTTAAAAGTGATCCTACAAACAACATAAACAACACAATTACATATGTTTTGAGACTGCTAATTTTTCTAATTATCTTATCAAATTCTTCATCTATCTTCTTTTTGTAAATATTGAAATCATGGTCCATAATTGCAATCCTCACTTCACAAGATTGTGCCCTTACTTCACAGGATTGTGCTCCCACTTCATCTCTTTTCTTCTTATTGACTGTATCTTCTTCATTAACCCATTCCCAAAATTTGCATTTAATTTCTGGGTTATCCTAAAACAAATATACGAAAATTATTGAAAAGACCTTACTACATATAGATTAAACCCGACATACCGTTGAATTAGGGCAAACCCTAAACTCTTTTCCAGGATTATCTTTGGTCATTGAAGTCCAGATACGAGAAGGGTAGCCACAATCACAGGGATTTGCAAAATCAAGTTTCAATTTTGACTTGATTTTCTTCGATCTGGTGCTGTAGGTGTACGTAGAGGAGGAAGCCATGGATTTGAGAAAGCTGCTACAGTCTTGAAGAGTGAAGAAGAAATCGTGCTTTGAGAGTGTTTAATTGAGGGTGAGGGTGTTTAATTGAGAGAGGGGTGAGCCACGTATTTTCCACATATTTTTTTTTAAAAAAAATAAAAAAAATACCGGGATACCTACTGTATCCGGTTATCAATGGTAAAATATGTACAGGAAACACATTTTAATGGTATTTTTTATTAAAAAAAAAACATTAATGGTATAATGTGAACACGAGTAAAACATCATTACCCTTACAAGTCATTTTCCCTACATTGAAATGCATACACAAACTCACAATAATCAAACAGAAAACAATAAAATAATTGCTCAAAATATATACATATAAAACCAATATATGAAACGTTTTCTGGAGATATCTACATCTCTAATAATTGTCTCTCCTAAATGCCACGTGTCACCTCCTTAAACCCCAGAATTCCACGTGTCATTCTTCTGCCTCTATTCCCACTTCTTTTCCCGCCCATTTCCTACTTCAGGAATGTAAATCATATATATCCTAAAAATCAGCTCTGAAGTTACGTTATTTTCCCTGCATTCAAACAAATTTTCAAATTTAATTTCATATCTAATCATATCCCATATAATCAGCAATGAGTTTGAAATAATTGATCTCTACCAAATTTATAGCCATCAAATTAGGAATTAAATCACGCTTAGAATATTCTCTTCTCCTATTCATTGAAAATATAAATACCGAACCCCTTAATATTTTTATATGTTTTAACGACTTTCTGCTTCTTCCTCTCTGCAAAGTGCAAAGTACCATCTTCCTGAAGTACATTTCAATCCATCAGGTTACGTTAAAACTAAATAATCATACTTTCTTTTATTCTGTTTATTTCTATCATCTTCTCCTTCTGTTACAAATTTCATATAGCATCCTAGAAACCACTATGTTGATCTATGTGTGTTGCAAATTACCTGATTCTCATTACTAACAAATGTAGCATTCCATAATTTTCAAGCACTTCAATAGAAGCATGTGGCTTTTGTAGGTTAAGAACATTTTGCGATTCTAAATATCGTTCCAACCAATTCTGCAAGTAATATGATATTCTAAAGCATTAGTCTTTTTTTATAATATCAAATATAAACAAATATGGTTGTCTCCAAATATACAAAATAATATTCAATTATTATGAAATCCTGAAAATTTATCATAAGTCCAAACTACCCTCCAATAATGAAGAAATTGATGTTGACTGCCAATCTATTCCAATGTTTTTTCATAATAGCAACCTGGGCAACTTCAAGTAAAGTTGCCCTGTGACTTATGTAGTAAAAAAATACATGTAAAGATGTTGATTGTTGGTCAAATCCTTCAATTGGAAGAAAAAATGGTTTTCGGTATTTTGAAGATTCTGAAAAATGTTGTTGAATAGGTGTACAGAACCATGTCTTTAATTGTTTCTCTTCTACTACCGACAAAAAACGTTAAAAAAAAGGGTTGATCAGTTATGGTTAAACAGTAAATTCATAATTCATTTCATTTTTAAATTTACTCGGATTTATCAAACTTTCTACCTTTCGTAATTTGCATACACACATGTATATCAAATAACATCACACTCTTCTCCTAATCCCCTTTAAAATTGGTAATACAATACTGGGATGTTTGAAATACGAGATGAAATTACACTAGCGGGAAGTAAAATTTTTTAGAGAGATATTCGGGATTTACTTTTTCACATACATAAACAACTCTTATGACCTCAAAATTTAATAACGAAAAAGTATTCCACCTGATTTCAACCAATTCGAATCTTCATCTAAAAAAGCCCTAATTTGTTACCTGTTGAAATCGCGTGTAAAGAAGCATTTCGTCGGTTCACTATTACCTAAAAGTTCCCGTTTTCACCCTGTAATCGCACGAAATACTCTTTAACCCTTTCGGGACACATTTTTATTGCTAATTTTATACATGATTACATGATCTATCGTCTGTAACAGTTAGTTTAAATTATTAATCTTATTTGTAACTATATTCCATTTTTTTTCATTACATACCAAACAAGGACATGAATGCAACAGACGTTAGAGAGAGAAGAAAAAACAGGAAGTTATATTTAGATAACAAAAAATCCAAAAAACAATTCACCACATCATCATCTCATCATCGTCCCATTCAAATTCCAAAGAAGAAAATTTTCATTAGCTGTGTGTTTTGCAATAATAATTAATAAGAGCCAATGACAATCTCTATCGAAGGTTGGTTTGTTCCTCAAAGAACCTGTTTTCATATATGGTCAATTGTATGTTGCTTTATCCAGAGTTCAAAGTAGAGAAGGATTAAAACTGTTGATTTTAGATAAAGATGGTAGACTAACAAATAAAACTTCTAATGTTGTGTATAAAGAAGTTTTTAGAAATTTGTAACAAAATATGTACACTTTTATTATTAATATAAATTTAGTTATTTGTTTTTTGTTAAATTTATATTTCATTTCATAAAATTATATTTTTATTGCATATCTACAAATACAAAATCACAATTGCATATTCAAATCACTACCGGTTCGTATTTTTAATGATTAGTTATGTCATTATCTTATTATTGCAAAACATATAAAATCTAATCATTACAGTAATTAATATTAATTTTAAATAAATAAGTACAATTTAATTAAAAAAATTAATTTCTAATCTGTGATGCCCACGGGGTTATAACCTAGTGTACAATAACTGAATCCATTTGTTCAAAACCATACAAATACAGCATCAGTAAAACAATAATTAAAAATAAGATCTAATGTGTAACAATAAATAAAGAGATTGAGAATCGAACAAAATCTAAACAAACAATATAAGCCAAATTAAAAATGAAAAAAAAAATCAACTAATCTATAACAAAGAATCCGTAAGCAAAATGTGTTATGACAAAGAAACATAAATTCCAGATCTACCCATTTGAGTTCGTATCTTTCCAACACATTTGATCCGATCCTGTAACGCCCGTGTTTCTAGGCTTGCCATTTTTAGCAATGTAATAGTCTAGGTTAACCTTGTAACTCAACTTGAAATAATAAGAATGTATTATTTGTGAATTATTTGAATTATGTGATTTATGTGTGTATTTTCTTAATTTTTATAATTTAATGAATTAAGAATAAAATAAGCGTCAAAATTTAAGTGTGAGATAAGCCCGACATCTTTGCATAAAGTTGTAGTGGTCGAAACAAGGATTCCGGAGATATAAGGAATGCCAAAATCCGAGTTATAACGAAGAAGTTATGACCTGTCGAAGTTTCGCGACAGAACCGGTACGACGCTGAGTGACGTAAAATATGAATTTAAGATAGAGCGATATTTAGCCTTAGCGATCTAAACGAAAGTCGTATATTTCGTTAAACCGAGAGCATGCATAAAAGGAACGCCCAAATCTGACTTCGTATGAGGAAGTTATGATTTTCTGAAGTTTCGACGTGGCAGTTTGCAGCCCGAATACTCGATTTGAGATCGAGCGGTTTTTAGCCGAAACAATCTAAATGAGAATCGAAGATCTTGTTGTTAGTAGCGAAACGATGAAAAGTTAGGCGAGAACGGACGTCAGACGAAGAAGTTATGAATTTATAACGAAGTTTTTCTGTCCCGGCCTTCTAAAAATAAATAATAAAAATAAAAGTCAAAATTAGCCGACGGAGTCTAAATGAAAGTTGTAGAGTATGGTCTGACCTTCGCGTGGATATAAAGAACGTCGAAAACGGAGCTCGTATGTGAAAGTTACGCAATTTAGAAGTTTGACAAGTCAATTACGCCCCGCGTAATTTGAGTACGCCCCGCGTACTCAGTCGGATGCAACTTGTCTGACCAATACTCGAGTGCCACCAGTCGACGCACGCAGTGACGTCAAAGTACGCCCCGCGTAACCCGAGTACGCCCCGCGTAATTTGAG